GGTAACCAGCGATTACCGGATTTGTCTAGTACAACATTTGCACTGCGTAAACAAACGGGTCATGCATAAATTCTTTTGCATGAAATATACTTAAAGGTTTGTGTACTGTAAAGTCTTTAAAATAATTAATCAAACTCTTGATCCAATTTCTTATACTATTTCTTTTTTGTCAGCACACAAAACTACGATTCTCCCAGACAATCTCAGGATGTTGAGTCAATGAGTCGTCGGGCAGTCAAAGCGTTACATATTAGTTACACACATACGCATTTCCCTGCGTGACAACGTAAAGTATTTTATCAAGTATAAATAACGTAAATTACTGTAAATCGGAAATGGATGTTGATAACTGGTTGATCGATGGAATTGATATAAAACCCCAATGAATTTTACCTTAGAATTTTTCAATTTCCACGTTTTCATTTCTCCCTTATCATACCGTATTTATCCGCCGTCTCACCGTCTCACCGTTTATATCCACGAGGATCCTTAAAACCGAGATTTTTAAAAGAATAAATGAGAAATTGAAATTTTGGCATTAGTTAAAATCATGTCTCAAGGTAAACTTGAGAAAAACATTTGTGTAATTGCAATTGGCATGAAAATTCAATGATTTACTAACCATCCTTATTTATAATTATTATTATTAAAGAAAATCATTTTCCTTCTACTTTTCAGAGTGATCGTTCGTGGAGTGTACTCAACGATAACTTAATAGATGATGATGATAAGTACCGTTTTTATCCTTCTTTTAGTTCGGAGAAATCCTGGAGCGTCCTGGGATCCCAGGATATAGATGACCGATCACCATTCGGCGTAAGCACCTATGGATATGCAGCTGACGATGAAAACTCGAAAGTTCACGAATACATTCGTGATCAACAACAACAGCGTTTCGCACCATTGGCACCTGTCGTAGAAAGACTCTCGTCACAACCGATCTCTTCGTTTCCCGAACCGGAGTTCATTCCATCGCTTAATGCGTCAACAAAAGAATTCTTGGAGAATACGTTCAAATATGATCGAAAAAGTGACGAAGATTTTGTTGGTCGTCCAAATGAATTTGATGACGATTGTCCACCGCCACCACCACCACCACCTCAATTCTTATCTTCAAATTTCATCAACGACGGTTTGGATTCAGATCAAATGACAACAATGCAGAGCGACCAAATTCATCATGATGATTATCAAACATCACAAATTTCCAATAACCACTCAGGTAGTAGAAGCAATCGGATATTTGTATGGACTTTTGGTATGTGTTCATTCAACTTTCTCTCGATGATCTCATCATCTCACTTGACCTCATCATTAACCTTTTCTCTTTTTTTAAAATTATTTTTAGCTATGGCTATCATTGCCTTCATCCTTTATTATATCATTGATGATATTCCAATCGGAGAGTTGGAATATTATCTTTTTTAAAAAAAAATTTCATTCAAGAACGGGCCTAGACTTGAAAGTGGAGAGTGGTGTGCATCGGGTTGTATAAAATAGTCTTTTTGGTTAATTCATTATCCCCGTCATGGGATTCACAAGGAAGCCTTTGTGATAGAAGTATTATTGCACAACAACTTTATTTATATTTACAATAGATTACACATATTCTCTTCATTTGTTCATATTTCACTACGCACCCATGCGATCATCTACACA